CCAGAGAAATCCGGTCACATTGTGGCTCATGAAAACGAGAACTTTTGCAATGGAAATTACGAAACAATGAGCTAAAAGCTTGCGCATGGAAAATCCGAAATGCTGACTTGTATTTGAAAGGAAAGCCCCTTTGGGGAGTGCTAATAAAATTTGTACGTTACTGTAAAGCAGCTACAGTTATTTATGGCTTTCAGCTGCTTGCAGCAAGATTGCCCGAACTAGCGTCAAAGTTGGAAACACTCTACTAGACTGCTCCCACTGGTTTTACTCCGAGTGCAGGAGTGAATATCAGAACAAGCTTTCAACTGCTTACTTCGCTGAGATGCCAGAGATCGCCAGTAAGCAAACGAGCGTTCATTACACTGCATGTAAGCTTAAGTGTTGTTTGAGCATTTTTACAAAAATAAATCTTCTCATCATAAACAGAAATAGCTCAATTGGTGTTTTCTGTCGCTGTTTTACTTCACAAGGCGTGGGTTAACATGAAGGCCGTATTTTGGCTGGGTAGTACGGTTTTAACGCAAATATCTCGTTCAGGTTTCAAGCAGTCAAAAATCTCTCTGCTCATCCCACATATCTACATTTTAGGCTGTTTGAAAATTTTTGGGAGATTTTGGGAAATATTTGGGGATAAATAGTTTTTCTCGAAGGATTAGTAAAATTTTTGGAAATAGGAAATTTGGAAGATTTGATGTTGTTTTAAAATTAGAATTTGAAGTTAAAAATTGGTATAGACGTACACCAAACAGTTGCCCACCAACCCAGGGTGCCCTTTCGGTGGCAATCAACTGTCTGTTGGCATTCCAAAACTATTTTTTTTCCTTTTAATCCCTCTTTAAACGTCCTAAAATTTCACTCATTCAGGTAGACCCCCGCCTTAAGTATAATTTCTGCCTTCGTAGCAAATACAATGTCTTTTATTGAAGCATTCGCTAGGTTGCGAATTGGTCTATTTCGCTACGTGTTTCGTCGGAATCTAGAAAAACTTGTTATTTTAGTGCAGTTTTAACTCTACTGTTCTTAACAATGGTCTCCTGCGGCGATATTAATATTTACTGGAGACAATATAGCTCGTTCCAATTCCGTTTGTCTGAGTCACAGAGGATGTTTAATTGGGGCCAAATTTGTCAAAATTTTGAAGCAACAATTTGAAAGCCAGCTTACCGTCATCAACCCGCGTCTGTTGTCTGGTAAAGCACGCTGTTTCAGTCAATCAGAGCGCGCGTTAAATGGAAACTTAATTATAAAAAATACTATGACAACTAAGCGAATTTTACTACGATAATGTACTTAACTCATGACATCTTACTGCATGAGACATTACTGTCTCAGTTAACCCGCGCCAATTAACCCGCAACCCGTGCCAGTTTACCCGGGACTCGCGCTAGTTTACCTGCGACCCGTGCCAATTTACTCACGACCCGCGCTGTTTACCCGCGACCCGCGTTGATTAGTCACTCCCGAGACTGACTCTGAAGGAGAGATAGACTGCTCTTGAAACAACACTGAAAATGATCCAATCTTTCAAATGGATGGCAGGCCCACATACTCCCTCATTTTGATTATTGCTCAACAGTTTGGCACTTTTGCAGTGCAAACAATAGGGACAAAATAGAAGCTCTTAACAAAAGGATTCTGAGACTCATTCTAAGCGATTTTGAATCGCCTTATGATGTGCTGCTAGACAGGGTAAACTGTCTCCAACTTCATGATCAGCGCATCTTTAAATTCCTTACTATTTTGTACAAAAGTCTATTTTTCACTAGCTATCCGGCC